CTACATGGAAGACTTTAGTAAAGAACATGGTCTCAAACATCGGCTAACATGAAAAGATGCAGACTCGAGTGGATTTTATGCCCTCAAGGCTGAACATCATATCTGAGTCTCACATTTGCTCTGTGCAAAGTAGTTTAGCTCTGCTGGAGTATGTTTTGCAGTTGTTAGTGTAGCTCAGAATTAATTGCCAAGTGATGTAACAGTAAATATACTATAGCTATACTTAGAAAATTCTTTTTCTTTTTTTATTACAATTTAAAGTATTATCAATACTTCTGGCAGAAGTATTTTTGTGAAACAGGTTCGCTGAATAAATACACTGAGCTCAGTGGGTGTCATATCAGCACACAATTGCCTGGTGCCTTAATACTACTGCAAACTTGGTCTTAGTCATGACTGAGCTGAGTAAGGTTCCTCACACAGACAACTTCTCTGGTATGAGAAGTTATCATGCACAGAAGTCTGAAAATGTAAATGGACTAAATTGGGATACGAAAGAGATTGGATACTGAGATTAGGACAAATTACAGCTGGAGAAGGCTGTTTCACTAACGGTGCATGAAGAGTAGAGCTACCTTAAAAACTCTATTGGTATAGCCACAAGTCTTGCTTATACTTAATTTAGGTGATAATTAAACTTACAATGTGCTTCTATGGTTAAAGAAGTAGGTTTCCCCATTTGTCATTGGTTTGAAAGCAGACTTACAGGACTTCAGAAACATGATAAGAGGATTGTTTTAATTAAAATATAGGGACAAGAAATATTTGTCTCTGTCCCTGGTATAAAGTTTTTGAATATTAATAACATTTTAACTAAGCAAACTACTCTCAAATATTTTTTCACATTTTTCATTTTAGCTTGAAAAACTCAAAACTGATGGAATAATTTTGGAAAGTACAATGAAGTTAATATAAGGAGGCTAAAGTTAGAAACTCCTCCAAATTTTACATAAAAATTGTTTTATAAAGATGGATTTTTTTCAAACATAAAGAAGGCAGAGAGAGAGAGAGAGAGAGAGACAGACAGGTGGGAAAAAATTAAAGAATCTTTTAATTAAAAGATTCAGAATTAAGAATTTTTCAGAAATAAAAGATATGACTCATTACATTAAAAAACTTCCCCAAGGGAAAGCAGAACAGCATGACTGCATCATTTGGAATTATGAGATGCGAAACAGTAGTAGTGTACATCAGTTGCAAAAGATCTAAATAAACTGCTGAATCCATATAACAGAAAATTATGTGGTCTTTAAAAACAAGGTTCTTGGTGAACATTTGCTCAACATTGACGTATTTATATATAAGCTGTGTTGTTAAATAAAAAACAGGTTGAAGACAATTTTAGTAAAAACATAAATACAAAATAATGATACCTTTTTCTTCAGTATTTGTTTTTGTACATGCATGTCTGTGTGTAGAAATATAGGAAAAGATTTGGAAGGATGCACAAGTTAGATGGGATACTACAGGGGAGGTGGAGCGGGGCCCGATGTGATAAGAACTATGTGTTTCAGTATTTTAAAGGAGAATTTACTCACGTATTTTGTAATAACATTAAATTTACTATCTTTACCATTTTTAAGTGGACAGTTGTGTTATGTATATTTATATTTTTATTCAACAGATTTCTAGAATCTTTCCTCTTGCAAAACTAAGCCTCTGTGTTTATTAACACAAATTCTCCCTCATCCATCCCGCAGCCTTTGGGAACTTCTTTTCTACTTTCTGTTTCTAGGATTTTGACTACCACGTTTTCTTTATCAATACATCTGTTGTTGGACATCTGGATTGTTTTTACCTCTTCAGTATGAATAGTAATGCTTCAATAAACATGGGCATGCAAATATCTTGTTGAGATTCAGCTTTAAATTTTCTGGATATATTGGATCGTTGGAAAAGTCAGGATGCATTTTTGCATAGAAAAACAGAAAAATACATCATGATTTTACTGACGACCTAATATACCTAGAAGTGGAATTACTGGAGCATGTGGTTAATCTATTTTTAATTTGCAAATAAACCTCTATACCATTTCCCATAATACCTTTGCCATTTTATGTTCCCACCAAAAATGCACAGGTTTCTGATTTCCCTATTGATCCTCAATATTTATTAACTATCAATATGAATCGTTTTTGATGTACAAGTCTTTTACCTCTTTGGTTAAATTTATTTCTAGTATCTTACTTTTTTCCTAATTGCCAGAGGGCACATGCACTTGCCAGAGAGAAGCAAAGAGACAGAAGGAGAAGAAAGTACTCCCGAATGGGACATGGTCATGATGCAATCCCTCCTCCATTTTTTCCTCCTGTTGTGATTTGGGACATGCACACATGCCTGGTGTGTTTTCCAAACCATCCTGGCCACAATTCAAAACATGGTTAAGTATGTGGGATCAGCTTCTCTAACCATTAGGTGCTGGGGCCAGCCCAGTATTTTATTCTTTTCAATGCTATTGTAAATTCAACTGTTTTCTTAATTTCTCTTTCATATCAGTCATAGTTAATGTATAAAAATACAACAACCAATTTTTGTGTGTTGATTTTGTATCTTGCAAATTGTGCTTAATTTGTTTATTGGTTTTTATGGCATTTTTTGGTGAAATGTTTAGTTTTTCATATATTAAATCATGTCATCTGTGATTACAGATAAGTTTACTTTTTTCTTTCCAATTTGAATGCCTTTTAGTTAATATTTTGTGTAATGGCTTGGATAGGACTTACAGTATTGGTTGAACCAAAGGGAAGAGAATGGGCAGCCTTGCCTGTTCCTGATTAGAGGAAACACTTTCAGTCTTTCATTAGAGTATGATGTGAGTGGTGGGCTTTTCCTATATGGCTTTTATTATGTTGAGGCTGTTTCCTTCTATTTCTCATTTTTGAGTGTTTTTATCATGAAAGAATCTTGAATTTTGTCAAATGCTTTTTCTGTATTTAATTGAGATGACTGTGTGCTTTTTAGCCTTTATTCTGTTGAAGGGGTGTATTACATTGAGTTTGTATGTGAGCCATTCTTGTATTGCATGGATACATCCAGCTTAGGTGTGGTGTGTAATTCTTTTAATGTGCTGTTGGATTTGAATTGCTAGGATTTTCCTGAGGGTTTTCTGCATCAATATTCATCAGAGAAATTGGCTTATAATTTTCTTTACTTGTATCTTTGCTTCATTTTGATATCAGACTAATGACAGCCTCACAGAATGAGTTTTGAAGTATTCTTTTCTCTTCAAGTTCTTGGAAAAATTTGAAGAGGACTGAGGTTAATTTTCCCTTAAATGTTTGGTAGAATACTCTACTGAAAACATATGGTCATGGGCTTTTCTTTGTTCAGAGGCATTTTTAATTATTGTTTCAATCTCCTACTAGTTATAAGTGTTTAGATGTTTTCTTTATTAATGACTCAGTTTGGACAAATTTACATTTCTAGAAATGTACCCATTTCCTCTAGGTTATACAACTTGTAGAGATATAATTGTTAATAGTATCTTTTGTTTTGGAGAGGTTTTTGCTATAGGGCTCATGAGCTCGCCAGAAAGACAGAGAGAGACTGAGAGACAGAAAGTGAGAAATCACCCCCCCCTTTGGGGGGATGGCCACACCGCTTTCCTTCTCTTCTATTTTCCTCTTGGGATCTTAGGCACTCATGCACACATACCTGGCGGGATTTTAAGCCACCAGGTCTAGGCTTTGAACCGTGGTTGACTACATGGGAGTTCAGCGACATAGCCATTATGCCAACTGCTGGTCCCAATAGTACCCTCTTAAAATCTTTCTAACTTTGTGCCATTAGCGTTCATGCACCTCTCTTTCATTTCTAATTATATTATAGTTATCTGAGTTACCTATCTTAAAAAGATAGTTCAGTAAAATTTCGTTAGTTGTTAATCTCTTTAAAGCAATTCTTGATCTCATAGATTTTTTTTTAATTATTTTTCTATTCCGCCATGTTATGGCATCAGTTCTTCTATTTTTATATCTTTAGAATTAAAAATTAATTTTGATAGATGTTAATAGTTCTTAATAATGCTCATTAAAATTTATCTATCAACTAATTTAACTACTATTTACGTGTACTCTAGTATTTAAAAACCATTCTAGAAAGATAAACCTGAATTTTCTCAAGACAAAAATAAGTGTTTAACTCTTATTAATTTATATTAATGTCCTTTGCTGTCATAACTTATATAAAATTAAAAAGTTTATTCTATCACAACTAGTCAGACATCAGAAGAGAAAGAATGAATCAAATAATTGCCCCTGCATAAAATGGTTCCTTCTGACTTAATTTTCTAAAACATGTTGATATAATTTTTTGAGTTTGTATTTTTTTTTTTTGGAGAGATTTTCACTGTAGGGCGCGTGCGCTCGCCAGACAGACAGAGAGAGACTTAGAGACAGAAAGCGAGAAATCACCCCCCAGGGGGGATGGTCACGCCGCAATCCCTTCTCTTCCATTCTCCTCTCGGGATCTTGGGCACGCACGCACACGCGCCCGGCATGAGTTTTAAGCCACCGGGTCCGGGACACGAACCGCGGTCGACTACGTGGGAGTCCAGCAACATAGCCATTACGCTAACTGCTGGTTCCCGAGTTTGTATTTTTTGAGCAAGTATTACTTTCGTATGAAAAACAGTTTCAAAACCAGCAAACAAAAAGCTTAACTTATACTGAATAGTTTAATAGGATAGTATTTTAATTGTTCTTTTCTTATTTCTCAGGTAATGGTACAACATAACCGCATAGAGCTTCTCAACCATCCTGTGTGCAAAGAATATTTACTTATGAAATGGTGAATATTGGGTAGTATTTTTTAATGCTGTACTCATTATATCTACTAAACATCTTCCAAACAATTATGTTTTAATGATATTTTAATGTAGTGTCTTTTTTGTTTAATGTTTTATACTTTGAAAAAGAAATAAGTATCAAAGACAATTTTGGATATTAAAAATGCCACAGTTGTTTATCTCTGACATTAACTGAAATATAAATATAATGAATCCTATGTAAGACAAAAAGAAGCATGCTGGATCCTACAGGTTAGTGGACAATGAAGTAAGAGGTTTCAAGCAAGAGAACTCAACTTGGAATCAGAATTTGGGGCTAAAGTCTCTACTCTCCCATTAACTGGTGAGGCTAAGTAAGTCACAGTTTGGTCAGAAGTTGAGATCTTTTTCTAAAAATGAAGAAAGATGAATTAAAATAGTTCCTTGGTTGTAAAGTTCAGTGAATTTACCAGATTCCCCAAAAAAGATTATAACCACTTCTAATCTCTTTCTACAGGTATCTTAAGTAGATATTTTTGTTCAAAATGACTCAGTTATGGGTTACTATTTATTTATTTTTGTAGGATGGCTTATGGATTCAGAGCCCATATGATGAACCTAGGATCTTACTGCCTAGGTCTCATACCTATGACCTTACTTGTTGTCAGTATAACACCAGGAATGGCCTTCAACTCCACTGGAATTATCAATGAAACCAGGGGTCATACAGAAATATTGGACACCACGGTAATATCAGACTTCAACTTTTTAAAATAATTATAAAAAATATAATGTTTTAGGAATACAAAGCCCATAATAAATTTTAAATATCAGAACTTTATTATAAGTAGCTGATGGAATTTGTACAGGTACAAATTTCTTCTTTGTAGAATGAGAGCAAATATTAAGAAAAGGTCAATGAGCTTGTAAAGTAATTTAAAAGGATTGACATGTATGTGATGCTTGCTTGAATAATAAAATGGTAAATTTTAAAATAGATCTAAAAGAAAGCAGCTTTGTGGTTGGCAGGGACTGAGGCAGCAGGGAAAGTAGGAGGATGCTTATTGGTAAACAGTTTCCACTTGGGATGATAAAAAAAAACTTATGGACCTAGATAATGGTGATGGCTGCATAACAGTGTGAATATACTTAATGCCACTGAGGTACACATTTTAGAATGTAGATGTCCATGTAAAATGTAAAACTTTTTAAATGGCAAATTTAAAGTTATGTGCATTTTATAACAAAATCTTTTTATTTATTTTTTTTTTCATTTCATTTTCTTTCATACATTCAATCACATTATTATTTGTCTTACAAAGTGGATATTTCAACAGATAATACCACACCTCTTTGTGCCATTAATGCTTTGCCTCCTTGTCCCTCCCCATGAATATGGAAGACTTACTGCTGAGTGAAGCAAGCCAGGCTATGAAAGAATATTTACTTATATATATATACCGAGTGTCCGCACTCTATGACTGAAACTAATTGACTAAAGGATATAGAAACACAGTATTTGGATGTAAATACCAGATATAGTGTGTGTGAAAGAGGAGGGTCTGAGGAAGGATATAACAAAATTTAAATAGGTTTACAGATCCATATTCCTTTAGAATTCAGTTGAAAAATTTTGAACCTCTCTTAATTAGGATATTATGAAATGAGCATGAGTCATCTTTACTAAATGAGATAAATATTCAAATCACAGTACTTTTCTGTTAGACTCAAATGTGTACAGTCATAAAAATGAAGTAAAAGAGAAATTGAATATTTAATAGAAATTACGAAGAAGTTTAAGTGCTTTATTTTACATTCCTCATAACTGTCTTGTACTTTTTTGTTATTTCAGAATTCCTATCCAATTAAAATTTGTATGATTTTAGTTTTTTTATCAAGCATATTTGGATGTTTCAAAGAAGTGGCCCAAATTTTCCAGCAGGTACATAACACATTTTGTGTCTCTAACGTTGCAAATGTTTTCATATGTGGAACATAAATTAATTGACAAACTATTATCTGAAGTAATATTATGTCATAATAAAATTACATCGCTTATTCATTTTGTGTGCTGTAAAGATAGTGATAGAATATAAAAAATAATAAGGATGAAGAAATGAAATTACAATGTTTGGCTATTTTTTACATTGTAAATATCAAGAATAAATAATATGAAATGTAGAAATGACATGACTTCAGGTTGGGTCATTGCTTGTTTGATCTATCTGAAAAAAGTAATGCTCACATTTTACCAGTCTATATGACTCTGACTATAAATAATCATAAGTGACTCTTTGTGTTTTGTCTTACATTGTTTTTTTTAATATTTTGCTAACACAGTAGCTAGAATTTGCATTCTTTGTATAAATAATTTAAAATATAAATATTTATAAAGAAATTTATCTGTCCCAAGACTCCACTTCAAATTAGTCTTTTTTAAAATTCCTTTCCTAGAAGTAATATTTTTCTTTATTGGATAAAAGTTCAAGTTATAATAAAATTTGAGATGTTTTATAGCATAATTCTTATTCTATATATTTTGTTTTCAAGGAGTGAACCAAGTTCAGATCAGACCCAAGAACTATATAAATTATCTACAATCCTAGTTCTGGCTGTTATATGGTACAGCTACTTTATTTTTCAGTGCAAAGTGTTATAGCTTTTATTGTTTATATTTTTTGTATATTTTAAAAATATTTTTGTCAATATTATTTTTATTAATCACCTTCTATACAACATCCCATTTTCAGTGAAACTTTTCTTTGTCATATCATATAGGCACATAGATATTTGAATTAAAGAATGCTGGTGATAATAACAATGTTTTGTATTTGTTTAGTAATATACATTCCAAGTACTTTTATATATTATACTTTAACTCGTCATAATTCTGAGAGTAAGACTATATGGTTCCATTTCATTTTGAATGACTAAGGTCATATTTCTTAATCTCTCAATTATAACTTATATTGAACTATAAAGTTATATAAATTCTCTATCATATTTGATCTCCATATTTTCTTGTTGATATTAAAATGTTCTACTCTATGGGAAATTTAGTGTCCAAAACATGAAATCTCTATGAATACCATTATGTTAATCAGTTTAACGATTTGTTCTCATTTCCTAATGAACTCTCAGCATAGTTCTCAAACTTCTTTACACACAACTTTAATGTACATGTATTTTGAGAGATCCACATGCATGTCTTTATATACACAGAAAGGCCTTAAGAATTACTAAACCAATTTGTAGTCCACTTGAAGTTTCTTTTAGATGCAGTGCCCCCTACAGGGAAAGCCCAGAAACTTGTAAGATTCCCTTAGCCATAAGACTTCATGTAGATACCAAGTCTGCAGATGACTGTGGATCATCTCCAACACTGAGTCATACCCCAGTGACTCTGAAGTCAATCCAGGATAGCAGGAGATGACTCCTTGGTTTGAATTTTCTTTCTAGTTGTTTTTAATGCCATACAATTTTGTAATTGTTATGTATGTATTAAACCATCCATAAAATGCCAGGTTTTGTATGTGGTAATTCTTTTATGTTTTTCAATCCCAGAAAAGGAATTACTTTTTAGATGTTAACAATGCCATTGAATGGATTATCTACATAGCAAGCATGATTTTTGTGCTGCCCTTGTTCATTAATATACCAGGTGACGTGCAGTGGCAATGCGGGGCAATGGCTATCTACTTCTACTGGATGAACTTCTTATTGTATCTTCAAAGGTAAAACCAACTTGAATGACTTCCATATGCATTAAGCAATTTTTTTCCTTTATTTTCTAGCCTATTCCTTTCTAACTATTTAAACTGTGAAGAATTTTTTTTGTGTGTCCTATTAAAGAAAGGGTGAGAGGAACTAGCAGTTGGAGTAATGGCTATGTCACTGGACTCCAATGTAATTGACTACAATTTGTGTCCTGGACCCAGTGGCTTAAACTCATGCTGGGTGTGTGTGCATCCATGCACAAGATCCCAAGAGGAAAATGGAAGTGAAGGTGTTGTGGCATGGCCTTCCCCTCTGGGGGGTGTTTTCTCACTTTCTGTCTCTCTGTCTCTCTCTGTCTTTCTGGTGAGCGCATGTGCCCTACAGCAAAAACCTCTCAGAAAAAAAAAAGAAAGGGTGAGAGTAGAGTACTAGTGTTCAGAGTGTAGAACAAGGTTCCTCAGTCTCTGTACTATAGAAATTTTCAGCTTGATAATTCTTTCACTTGTGTATATATGTGTGTGTATGTGGGGAGGGATTGATTGTCTTGTGTGTTATAACATGTTTAGCAGAATCCTGGGCTTCTACTCACTAGATATTAGTTTTGTGTAGAAAAATACTTATGACTATTCCACCGACCCAATATAACCATACATCTGACCCCAGTTTGACAGCCACAGATGTACTCAGACATTGCTAACTGTCCCCCTGAGTGCCTAGGTCAAGAATCACTGATCTGAACATATCTAGGTTAAATGGGAATCAATGTGTTGGTTATACCTGATTTACCTGATATTATTTGGTAAGCATTTGATTTAAGTCAAAGTGAGGTGATAGGTCAGATGGAGAATACATGTGATATAAGAAAGAAAGAAAAAAGCCTAAAAAATCTAATCAGAGAGAGAGAAATGAGGCTTAGTAAATTTCCCTACCTCTCACAATTGGAATTTTTTTAGTTTGGAGAGGTTTTTTTTTTTTTTTTTTT